ATTTATATATGTTGACTAATTGTAAAAGGGCTGAATTGCCCTTATTGCTTACATGGCAAATAAACTAATAAAAAAGCTGAAATAACAAGCTGTAATAACAAACTGAAATAACTACCAACTAACACTGACACAACTAACAAAAAACATATGCTATGCTTCCATACGAACACAGTGGGGACCACAGCAGTGGGGTCCACATCAGTGTTCTCTACAACATCAGTGTTCTCTACAGTTACCACATACCTTCTGGACAAGCTCAGAAACCTTATCTTGAGAGGCAAAAGCTTGATTCTTAAGAGGTTTCGTTAAAACGGAGTCTGACTTCTGATCTTGACTGCCTGAGGACAATGCAACTTTCACAGCAGTCACCTACAAACAAAGTTCTTTAAAGTTCAATGCTAAAGATTGACCCCTCCAGACATACACATGGACATAACATGATTTCTGAAGGAAAAATGAAGAAAAACAAGAATTATTACTTAGTCACCACTGTACAAATGGATAGTTATTTTTGTTTTTTTGTGTTATGATAAGGGGCAATATAACCTTGGTGACAAATGAAAGCATCGGATCTACAATTAACTTTGTGACTGACATGATGAACTCTTCACAATTTGTTTTGAGACTCTTCTCCAGTTCCTGCGGATTAAAGACATTCACAAGTCACAGCCCATACATAGTGCTTGCAGGAGAAGAAATTAAAGGTGCATGACAACAATCATTTTATACCAAACTTGGATGTCAAGATCAGCAGGGCAACATGGAAGAATTGAGTTTCGTTTACAGATCAATGCAACCAGGCATGAAATTTTATAGTGCATCCCCAGTTTCCCAAAACAAAACTTTCAAAATATAAGATGGATGAAAAAGTAGTTACATTATTTTTCCTTGCTGATAAAAAAACAGTAGTTACATTATCACCAAATACCTTACTTCAATTATTAAAGATCAGCAGAGAGAAAAATAAATTATTAACCAACAGTAGTGATAGAGGATCCTCGCAAGCAAAGGTAATGAAGAATGTGATATTACTTGTTGAAAAGGCAAAAGCATTTACCTTTTTTGCATCTATTTGATTCTCCAAAACTCGTGGAGATAAGGTCCTTGCCAATGAGGTTGATCTTGACCAGTCGAACAGTGAGGCCTGGCCTCTAAGAATCCGTCTCAGATGCTCCTGGAAATGGAAGATAAAGATAAGATCAAATCCAAATTTATTATGAACATTTATAGCTCAGAGAAGAATGGTAACTCCAGTTTCATAAATCTCCCTATTCTCATTACAGAAACGTTCAGCTATATTATAACTAAGGTTCAAAATTTCGATACGAGGCGTATCTTATCGTAGTGTTGGCTTAACAATACACCCCTACAGGGTCCATATTGGGTGACCTGGTTCAGGGGGTAGACCAGCCTCATACTGACCCCTCTGAACCAGTTTCAAGGAAAAAAAAGGTGGGCAAGTTTCAATACAGGCCAATATGCCCCTACCGGCGAATCGGCCTGTATCGATATTTTAAACCTTGATTATAACTTATTCTCTACTCTTTCTTGTCACTCCAGGTCCTACAACCTGCAGCTTTTGTTAGTTAATTTGTCTCAACAAGAATACCTAAGGCTGCGTTTGGGAAGAGTGCAAATGCCAGTTCAGTTGATATATGCACTCTGGTTCAGTTTTGCTGGTGTATGGTAAAAATGCATTTATGTATTGAAAGCGGCAGTTTTCACAAATTTCAAGGCATGTTTGTACTCAAAGTTGATCAATGCTAAAAAGGTATATTCTAGTCTTGAGATTCATGTTTGCACCTATTACGACTAAAAAGCATTTGGCAAGAAAGTAAATTTATAAATGCAAAACTAAACCAACCTTGCATTAACATGGACCAGAATGCACTCTACATATTTGTATTTGCACTCTATTTACACTCTTCCCAAACGGAGTCAACTGGCTGGTTGTATCAGAGATTTGGGATCAAATCCCATCATCACCAGGGTTGGGGGGTTTGGGGCAGGGGAATGTTCTCCCCTGGTGTAGCCCCATGAATGCAAAAAAACAAATAAAAAATAAAAAAATAAAAACTTGAGACATCTTTTAAAACAGATAAACCATAAAGTTTCTCCCCATCAAGTGATGATGGATCACTAGCAACCCAACTTTCCATTACCCACCTATGCTAGTCTGAATGTTTAGAGAAGGAATCAAAATGAGCCAATAATATTCTCTACCAACTTTTTTGGCCCAAAAGAATCTTCAATTTTCCTCTCTCTGCCTTCTGTGGGATAATTTCTGTTCAAAAAGACTTGCTCCAAATCTAAAGTAAACCCATCATTGTAGGCAACTTTAAAAAGTTGAGAGATTGGATGGTTATTCTTATTTGGGCACAATTCTGATACAAACTGGAGTATATGGATAATATGTACTGAAGACTGAATATATAACCAGTGAAGAGGGATCCCTTCTTCAATGGCTGGATCTGGATAAGCCACAAAGTTGTTTGAAGTGACAAAAATAGGTCACTAGAGAGCTTCCCTAATTGACCAGATTATATCAAACAAGTTTGCTACTTGGACTGTTAAATGAGATTTTCCTGAACAACCAAGGAATCTTATATGTGGCAAATTAGTTTGGAGCTCAAAAGGAGTCTCCAAGATCCTCTCCCCACCTTATATCCATGGAAAAGTTTTCATCCCAGAACACCTTGTCGTTTGTATATAATAGCCCCAAGGTAAGTTTCATAATGGAAAATTATAACTTTGAATGGCTAATATTAGATGGAAAACCAATACAAGGTGGGACATGTGGCCTATATGGAACACTGGGATTGAACATGTGGCCAGTCCAGTGGCTCCCCTAAGGTGAATACATGTAGAAATGGTCCCTTCTAGACCCAACTAGTGAACACTTGTCAGGCTCTGCTTGTTTCACATAAACAGGGTGGGAAACTTTTCACTATGCAACATTTCAGTTATAATTCCACCCTTTATGAAAGAGAAAAAAAAAAGATTCTGTTCTCCAATCCTTACACATGGAAACAATTATTAAGTGAAAAGAAGAAGAGGAAGAAGACGAACAAAGATGTTGAGAAAGAGGGTTCAGTTACTATTCACACCCTCAAAGTGAACAATTTATATTTAGATAGAAAATTACAGATTTGCCCTCTACTAGGTGACTGAATATGATATGAGGACTAAAGTGCCCTTGCCCAAATACATATTCTCAACACTCCCCTTCAAGCTGAGCATAGATATCTCCATCCCCAGCTTGCCTAGGTTATTATCAAGCTTGGGATTGTGAACTGCCTTGGTGAGACAATCAACAAGTTGATCTTCTAACTTGACAAAATCCAAGAATATTTCTCCACTAGCCATTCTTTCTCTAATGAAGTGTCTGTCCATCGCAATGTGCTTTATGCAATCATGTTGGACAGGATTATGGCCGATATTTATGGTTGCTTGATTGTCATAATACAATCTCATTGGAACATCAACCTGTATTCCAATCTATGTCAACAAGTTATTCAGTCAATAGTAATCCTAATACACTATGAGCCATAGCTCTAGATTCATATTTTGCACTAGATCAGGCCCCAATAGATTTTTTTACCCTTCCATGACACAACATTACTTCCCACCAATGCACAATAACCAGAGGTGGATCTCCAATCATCCACAAAACTTGCCCAATATGCATCAGTACAAACTTCAACCTCGAGATGTCCATGGTTGATCTTCTAACTTGACAAAATCCAAGAATATTTCTCCACTAGCCATTCTTTCTCTAATGAAGTGTCTGTCCATCGCAATGTGCTTTATGCAATCATGTTGGACAGGATTATGGCCGATATTTATGGTTGCTTGATTGTCATAATACAATCTCATTGGAACATCAACCTGTATTCCAATCTATGTCAACAAGTTATTCAGYCAATAGTAATCCTAATACACTATGAGCCATAGCTCTAGATTCATATTTTGCACTAGATCAGGCCCCAATAGATTTTTTTACCCTTCCATGACACAACATTACTTCCCACCAATGCACAATAACCAGAGGTGGATCTCCAATCATCCACAAAACTTGCCCAATATGCATCAGTACAAGCTTCAACCTCGAGATGTCCATGGTTGGGGTATAGCATTCCTTTACCAGGACATCCCTTTAAGTAGGAAAGAATCTATTGACAACTTGCATGTGTGAAGTTCTAGGTTTATGCATATATTGGCTCACCGAACTTGTTGAATAGGATATATCAGGCAGTCAAACACAAGCAGAGAAGTTGAGCAACAAGTCTTTGAATAACACCTTGGTCTGAAAGAATGCCCTCATTATCAGCATTCGACTTATAATTGGGGTCGATGGGAGTTTCAACAGGCTTGCACCCCAACTTTCCCACCTCTTAAAGTAGGTCAAGAACATACTTTCTCTATGAAATGAAAATCCCTTCCTTTGACCTTGTTACTTCAATTCCAACGAAGTATCTACGATTCCCAAGATCTTTGATTTCAAATTCGGAAGCAAAGAACTTCAACTAGGCAATTTTAGAGTTGTCATCCCTAGTGACTATAATATCAACATAGTCACTTGGACATCAAACCTTCTTATAAAAAGAGTGTGATCAGCCTGTGATTGGGTGAATCCAATCTTTAGAACTACCTATTTGAATCAATCAAACCAAGCTCTAGGGGACTTCTTGAGGCCGTAAAGAGATTTCTTTAGATGGCATACCTTTCCTTCACTATCAGGGAAACCTACTCATGGGGGAAGATCCATGTAGACCTCCTCTTGATTATCACCATTGAAGAAGACATTCTTCACATCCATCAAATGTAAATGCCATCAATAATGAGTAACAAGAGAACATAATATGGGCCCTAGACATCAATATGTATCAAAACAACATCACTTTTTCTATACTTGCAAAATATATGGTTCTACATTGCATGGAAAGATGACAAACTTCACATTGTAGGCTTGAATGAGACACAAGTTGACACAAACTGGGAAAGAAAAACTTGATGGAAATAAAAGACACTTGACCAAGATGGCAATGCCACAATTCCAAGGCTTAGTTTTCACTTTGACAAGACTAGATCTAGCACAATAGTCCTTGCTCAAGGGTATGATAAAAAATGTAAACTCCATTAGCCCCATTTCTAGTTCCAATCATCCTCCCCATGCTCAAGTCCTAAAATACACAACATGAAGGGAAAAAAATTATAGAACAATTATAGGATTTGGTAAGAGAGCTAACATATAAAAAAACTTTTATATAATTGTAGTACATGAATGGCAGAACTCAAGGAAAGGTTATCTGTAATCTTGACTTCACCCTGACCCAAAATTGGATCTAAGATCCATTAGCATCTATGATCTTACCTTTCCCTAGAGCTAACTTCATGAGGTGAAGTGAGAAGGCATACCAGTTATGTATGCATTAGCTTCATAATCCACAACCCAAGAACTAGAAGGAGAAGAATGGCATGCATGTGCAGTACTTGTTTTAGCAAAAGCACTGGTGGGATTACTAGAGCTAGTAGAAGTAGAGGACATAGTCTTCTTAAGCTGTCAAGAGATTCCTCAGTTTACATCTTTTTTTTTTCTTTTTGTTTTTTGATGTTTATCATAACAATTTGGTTGATCTATCAGAACCATTTGACTTTCTGTGAGTTTTAAACTTTGCTTGAACCCATAATATCATGTAGTTTTGATGATTTGGAACAAGTTAATAATTTAAAAGGGTCTATCAGAACCATTTTATGCTTATGCATATTTCACAGTGTTTTCAGTGTCCATAATTTTTACAATATTTCTATATGACATTCTGTTATTTCTGACAATTCCTAATATTTGGGTGAACATATTTCCGCCAACACTGATATTTTCCCCTAGTTGTTAGATGGTTATATACATTTCAGGAATTCATTAAACCATGTAAGGAAGCTCCACATACATATGGGGAAGGCCAAGATCAACTTCAGGCCTATACTTTAGTGTAGGCCTGGCCATATCTTACCTCAAGCTGACCAGCCCCAATGCTCATCCCTATTCATAAAATAAAGAAAACTAAAAGCAAGTCAATAGTCATTTCCCTATTAGACTTGCATCATTATCAGCTAAATCTTGTCATTCATTTCAAAAGTCTAATTGCTTAAAAAATGTAAAAGAAAATTAGGAGTAGTTTATTACAAACTTGAAAATGTTGGCATGTGCAGGTAATTTAGAAGAAAATAAAAAAAAAGATAAGAAATTTAGCAAAAACAGAAAGTGTCAGCATGGTCTACTAACCAACAAATGAGAGAAATCGAGTTCCTTATGCGTGACTGAAAATTCTATATCAAAAGGTGCAATCTGAAATGCAAAGAATTTCACCCCATTAGCTTTACATACATGCACATGTGCAAACACACACAACACATATATAGACATATCTATACATATATTAATGAATAACTTCATTTTGCTAAGAACAAGAATGAAGAAAGGAGACAACCTGCTCCCTTAAGATAAGCAGATGTTTGATAAGGAAAAGCTGTCCATCCATTGGAGATGATCTCTTTGCAATGAGTTTGCTCGCTTTCTGTACCATAAAAAGAAAAAAGTGTCAAAGAACAGATGTACAAGAATTAAGCAGCAACAAATCATTCATTAAGACAGTGGCTCAAGAGCCATGATGAATCCCCACTTAATCATGGAACAAGAAGGCATTACATAACTGTTCTTATTTTACCAAATATGTGCTAAAAAAGTCAAGTATGCATACTGATCTAACCATAATTAGTTCACTGACCTGGATGGATATTGAGCAAACTTCAACTGCTTCCTGTTAGTGACAACAAAGAAACCAATTCAAAAGAAATTTTAACAGAAATACACACACACATACAGACATAATATATATATATATATATATAACAAGTCCTGCAGAGGAAAACACAAAGAAACAAATTATGCACCAATCTCTTTTAAAACATCCAAATACCTGTGCTAACCCGGTAAAAACAGCTGGTTCTAAGCATCGATACAACTTTGACAGACATGACAAAGTTTTCTCCAATGGTGGATACCAAGTTTTAAATACATCAGAATTTTCATCACCCTGTAGTTTTAATAAAAAAAAGCCAATGGTGTAATTTAAACAGGTTTCATACATAGGAACCTAAAGTAATAAAAACTGTCATAAACACATAAAAATACAGGAGTAGAGCTAATAGAAGCCTCTCAACTCAGATTCTAGTAAAATATGTGGTAAGTGCCCAATTAACAAAGCATAACAACCTAAAAGTCAAATCAAATCCAGCTATCTGCTCAGAGGGGTTTACTACTCATGGATGCGAGCTCATGAGTAAACTGATGCAGGTTACATTAGTTATGAATATACAGAAACATAGAGAGCTGAATTATATAGCTGATGGGTTAGCTAAATCAGGGTCTCATAGGGAAATCTTGTATAGTGGTAGAACTGCGCTTGTGCAAATTCTGTGGTACACTGTTCTGCTATTTCTCTGTTGTACATTATCTCATGTATCTCTTTTTCCTTTAATTAATTTTGGTAATCTTGTCTCAAAAAAAAAAAAAACAAAGAAAACAGTCAACAACATATAAATATCACTTGTTGCTTTCATTATTAGCATAAAAATATAGTGGGATAGGATATTTTACTGAAGTAGCTCCTGACACTGTCCCAGGCAACCTCTCTAACTTAGCAGGATAATCCAAATCTTCATCGAAAGGAATGTAGTTTGCTATCTACATAATAACCAAAAGAGAGTTACAGCATTGAAGTAGCATATTTAAATGAAAGTATGTAATGAAAAGATACATCAGTAAATGCTAGACACTAATAAAAGGTGCCAGACATGGTATTTTGGATAGCAAAAATTGACACACTCCAACAATTTTTTTTGTATATTACAGGCAATGTTCATAGTTTGTAAAACAAAAAAGAATGAACTTGTATTAAATATTAATAAGTTGGCATGCATGAAAAGTTAGAAAAACAATGAACAAAAAAGAGTTGAAAAGGAAAAGGATAAATATGATAAACTATATTTTTTTTTCTTGAGAAAGTTAGAGAAACAATGAACAAAAAAGAGTTGAAAAGGAAAAGGATAAATATGATAAATTAGATATTCTCTTTTTCTATGTAGCTTTGCCATGTATTTGACATGTTAAAATGTACATGACCTCCATATTACCAGGCAATGTTTTAATAGAATGCAAAACAAAAAAGCATGTTCTTTAATGAATAAGCTGGTATATATGGAATTTAGAGAAATGGTGAACAAATATTGGTTGAAAAGCAAAAGGAGAAATATGTTAAATTAGATCATTATTTTTTCTATATAAGTATTGGCATGTATGTGACACGTTAAAATGTGCACAACCTCTTTTCAGGTTTCAGAAAATGGAGTGTAATTTATACTTCTCTCAGCTCATTATGTAAGAGCCTTAGGTAGATCAATGCAAAAAGACTAGAAAAGGTAACCATTTGAAAAATGTAAAATTTTCTCTTCCTCTTTTCATGAACTCTTCAACCATGCTGTTTAGAGAGATAGTCGAGTTTCCAAGACACTTTTTTCTTCCCAAACAATTTAACTTTCTTACAATAAATTAAAAAATTATTAATCAAGTAGTTTAGAAATATGCAAAAACAAATAGAATAGCTCCCCTGGTGTTAGACCAAGAGAGCACTAGTTTTGAGTCCCCTTCAACCTCCAAGTTTTTAAAATCTGCTTGTTTGGATAGTTTTTTAACCCCAAAGAAGTGCTAGTAGCTCAGTCTTTATTGAGACGCCAACCCCTATAGGCCCTGAATTCATTGGCAACACTTTGTTTGTTGAGTCTCTGAATACACTACCAATGCTTGCCAATCCTGGGTTTCCTATGGAGCTCCCATCAAAATTCAGCTTTAATTTGTTCAGAGCAGGGGGTTTCCATTCCATCCCCATACTTTCTTTCTTCTTAGAGGAGTAAGCCACTTCTCCATGTCCGCATAGTATCAGCTACTGAGAAGCTTTGGAAATGCTCAAGTGCTTTTACCCAATGTGAAATTTTTTATATTTATTGTTTCCACCAGTTCTTTTTTTTTTTTTTTTTCAGCAAAAATGAGCATTTTGCAAATCAGCAGATAAAAAGAAGACATTTCAACATAGAAATTTTACAATACAGCCCAAAAAAGGCTGTTGCCTTTGAACTCCTTGTTTAGCTATAGAATCAGCCATTCCATTTGCAGTTCTCCTAACCCATGTTAACGAGGCACTAAGTTCCCTTGCTATGGTTACTATCTCCCTTAACTGATGTCTGTAGTACCAAGGAAACTGCTTGAATTGGTCCAAGATATCACTGTTTTTGAGTCCCCTTCTATTTCCAAGTTTTTAAAATTAGCTTGTTTGGCGATTTTTAGCCCTTGAAGTAGAGCTAACTGTTGGAAAGTAGAAGATTGACTCTCTGATTGATTCTCCATAATTTTAGGTCCATCAGTTTAGGAAACTTAATTTCCTAGAATCATGGGATATTAATTGGAGAATCCCACTGATATAGAAATTAGTTTTTTAGGAAAAGTTAGTTTCCTATTTTATCACCCTGTAAATTAGCT